CCCATGAGAAAGGTTTTGCTTCCGTTGATATTTTTTCGATTTTCAAGGTTTACGCTTCTCCCCGCCCACTGGACGGCAGCTTTTCGGAGAAGAACTGGAGTATATTTGGGAACTACTGCGAAGAAGTGGTAGGAAGATGGAAGATGGTAGACAGGATGCGGGATGGGGAAGGGGGTCGTATCAGAGGAGTAAATATTGAGGAGAGATGGTATTTCGCTGAATTTTTCCCAACGACGGGACGTGCCTTGTCCGTAGGGATCACGTGGAGAGGGAGATAGCCGAGGTCCAGTCATCTCTTGTATACTGTCTAGAATAAAACGCTGAACTTGGTGGTGCTCTTCAGATCTGTTGAGTGGGCTTTGAATGTTTGGCGTATCCTACACTGATCACTACCGACAGTTGGCTTCCCCATCCCTTTTGAGCACTGTTTTAACTTACCTCCTTCACTACGGAGTTATGTCTGAGGAGCTCTTCAACCAGGCTTAGGTTACAGTTTGCTGCAGCTTCATGAAGACAAGTAGAGTCATTGTCATTCATGATCGTCGGATCAGCACCCATGTCAAGCAGCTTCTTCACCAAACCTAATCGACCTTGTCGTACCGCAATGAAAATCGCAGTTTCCTCATCTGCAATAGCTTTGTAATTTTCACGTTCAATGTGGAACTCATGGCCAACTTACCGTCGTCTTGTACGTTCAGATCTCCACCAGCCGCCCATATTTTGTCCACCTCCTCAATGAGCTGACTTTCAGGCTTCTCGAAGTTGTCGCATAACATCATTAGAGCAGTTCTTCCAAAAGGGCCCTTGACGTTTACATTTACCCCTTCAACTTGAATCGGTATATTTGATGACGCCTGCTTATGCAGCGTTGTTATACGTGGTGGGCCCTTCTTTACCGGATTCGCATATTCGCATACTCTGAAATAGATACCTTCACAAAAATACAGGGATCAAAGGTTGAAAGGCACACATTGTTCTTTCGTGGTTACTGGGGTCTAAATACGAATGAGAGAGCGCTAATTAATTAACAGCAAGGCACGAATTAAAAAAAGCCCTGCAAAACCTTCCTAATCAATTGAACCCCTTTCAATTTAGAGGGTCTAAATAGTGAGCTCGAACTCTGCTTCGCACATTCAAACTGCAAAAATGACACCACCCTGCTGGTTGCAGAGGCAGGTCAGCTAGATGCAGAGGTGAAGGAACTTAGCTAATCGCAAACTGCGCTATAAAAATGAGGTAGTAAT